ATTTTCACATTAGCAATTGAAAGGTTTGCCCCGGATGATTCTGTTAACCTGTTGGCGAACGAAAACGATGTTAAAAGAAAATTGTCTCATCCCTTTGATGTATGATGTGGTTACCACCACAATTTCGTACTGGATTTTCTCTAAGTAAGAGTGTTTTCGATCTTCTATGGGAGAAAAGGGCTCTTGACTGAGTTTTTTCGCTTTACATAAACATTTCTTTTCATTTTAAATGTTCATATCCATTTAAAATTTTCATTTGTTTTATGATCCAGTGCAAAACCAAAACAAAATGTTCATTGATGGGTTTCTTGTAATAGAATATATTTACTAATTACGATGCTAATTTCTTCAATCCAACATTTTGTCTATCATGATTAACAGAAAGGAAGCATAAACAAGAAAGGAAAGCTAACTTCGGACGGAGCCAAAGTTGATATACCCTTTCAGAATATTCTGTAAATTATATTCTCCAAAATTATATGATGCATTCTTAATACACATAAAAAATCGCAACTTCCTAACCTTAAAAACACCAAAGTTGTGCCGTTCCGACTTACATACTGCGTGCAAAGGAAAGAAGGGTGTATACAAAGTTTCAATTCGATACCCTGCAGTTCCGAAATTCATCACTCGTTAATCACTATTTCATCGCATTTTAATCACTCGTTCATCGCATGTTCATCAGTAAACGCTGTTCAAAGAGTGATGAATTACTGATTAAAGAGTGATGAAAAACTGAAAAAAGAGTGATGAATTACTGATTAAAGAGTGATGAATTTTTCACTGATTAACTCCTAGGACATGCCAATGTTAAATTCATCACTAATTTGTATGAAGTTTCATCGCCGATTAATCAGCAGTGATGAATTTTTGGTGATGAAAAAGCGATTAAAAGGTGATGAACGGTACTGCAGGGTATCTTTAAAACTGAGAGACTAGTTCGCGTAAAAACAGACAGACGGACATGCTTATATCAACTCAGGAGGCGATCCTGATCAAGAATATATATACTTTTTAGGGTCGGAGATGTCTCCTTCACTGCGTTGCACACTTTTGACCAAAATTATAATACCCTCTGCAAGGGTATAAAAAGGAGTCTTGAAGTGTCACGGCTAAAAATAGACATATTACCATGTGGGGCAAAACGATAGGCGACCCGCGAGGAGCGCGGAAAAACCAATATTTATATTCAACAGGAATAATTGGATAATTGGATAATTCTTGTAGGTGGTGCGCCAGAAGGTGGCTCTGTGAATGGGTCGCAACAAACGTATCATTACAACTCCTTTAAGCGGCGATAAGAGGATCGTATAGTCGAGTTTTATAATCATTTTCAATACTACTACAGTTTAGATCAAAGAAATCTGTTCGTCAACTATGAGAGAGAGCGAGAGCCAAACAGCTGGCAAAGTTTTTCATTAAGCCTAGTACTCAGATCGACGAAATCTCCTTAAGTAAGAAATTATGTGTGTTAAAAGCAAAATTTCTCCTAAAATTGTGTAAAATTACTTTCGTTGGCCAAAAAACATTTCTTAAGACTTTGTTCCAATTTTTAATGAATAACATTAAAAAGCACAAATCTACAATGTTACGTTTCAGAAATTTCAAAGTCTCTTGCAAATGCAGATAACGTACTTTAAAAATTTTACTTTTGTCTTGCTGTTTTAAAATGCAAAACAGTAAAATTCCGAGAAGAAATTATAAGTGTTTGTTGTTTTTCATTAAGCAGCAATAGCCTGCTCTTCCTTTTGTCAATTTTAATTGGTTATTTTATTGTTTTATTGTTTGGAGTAACGCACATATTAAAAATAAAAAAAGTCTTAAAAAAATTATCTTCATTGCTTATTCTTCTTGGAAATCATTAGGACTATAAAATTATAATAATATTATTTCTTTTTGTTTCGGCATTAAATATTTTAGTTTGATTTTTAATTCTGTTTTTTTTTTGTGTAAGCCATTGTTTTCCTTAATAGCTTGAGCGTTTCGGCATTAAAGCCATTAATGTTTCTTTAATATTTACATAGATATGCTTCAGCATTTATCATTTCGTTTATAAAAACCATGTTTCCTACTCCTCAAGCGGACATGCAGCCCCAATCTAGAACAAACCCTCCGCTGTGCTTCACCGTTGGGTAGCATTTATTAAGTCAAGTTCATCACCGCGCTTTCGACACACTTTCTCCTGTTCCTTAGATGAGAGATGTAAATCATAGCTTCTAGAACTCTTCGGACGGTTTTAGTGGATACGCTTATTCTTAGGTATAAACAAGAAAGGAAAGCTAACTTCGGGCGGAGCCGAAGTTGATATACCCTTGCAGAATACTCTGTAAATTATATTCTCCAAAATTATTCATATGATGCATTCTTAATTCTCATAAAAAATCCCAACTTCCTAACTTTAAAAACAGCAAAGTTATGGCATTTCCAATCGTTCAGTTATATGGCAGCTATAAGATATAGTCGGCCGATCCTTATGAAATTTGGTATGTCGGATTGATTGGCCAAAAATAAAACCCATAGAAAATCCCAACTTCTTAACTTTACAAACACCAAAGGTATGGCACTTCCGATCAATCAGTTATATGGCAGCTATAAGATATAGTCAGCCGATCCTTATGAAATTCGGTATGTCGGATTGATTGGCCAAAAATAAAACCCATAGAAAGTCCCAACTTCTTATCTTTAAAAACACCAAAGTTATGGCTTTTCCGATCGTTCAGTTATATGGCAGCTATATGATATAGTCGCCCGATCCGGCTCGTTCCGACTTATATACTACCTGCAATAGAAAGACAACTTTTGGGAAAGTTTCGAGCAGATAGCTTTAAAACTGAGGGACTAGTTTGCGTAGAAACGGACGGACAGACGGACAGACTGACAGACGGACAGACGGACGGACAGACGGACAGACGGACGGACAGACGGACGGACAGACGGACAGACGGACATGGCTAGATCGACTCTCCTGGTGATGCTGATCAAGAATATATATACTTTATAGGGTCGGAAATGTCTCCTTCACTGCGTTGCAAACTTTTGACTGAAATTATAATACCCTCTGCAAGGGTATAAAAATAATTCATTTTTGCGAAACGTTCAAACGTTTACTTTTCGTCATTTGGTTAGAGATTTACACCAAGAATGACGCACAAAAGTTTGTTTTTTATACCGTATTCAGTCTTAATATAGAATAATATAAACAAGAAAGAAAGAGATTTTCGGCAAGTCGAAGTTTATATACCCTTGCTATTATTACAAATCGACCACATTTCGATTTCTATGCTTAAGCCTAGTATTCAGATCGACGAAAACCGTACGCCAGACATGAGAGAGAGCGAGAAGCAAACAGCTTGCGTTCACTTTTCGTTGGGCCTATTTTTCACGTCGCTACTCAGATCGACGAAAAAAAATACCAGAAAATTTCATAGCGTTGCCAGTCTGCTGAAATGAACTTTGGATGAACCCTAGCGAAAAGAATAAAAAATTTAATCTTTTGGCGTGCGCTTCTCACTAAACATTTTATAAAATGGAGGGAAAACATTAAAAAACCCACAAAAGTCGATTGCAGGAGTTTACATGTGAGGACAAAATAACATTAATACCATCTGGGGGGCCTCTTTCTTAGGTCAAAAATGTACGAAAAACACAATAAAAGTGCAGCTATGAACTTTAAATTAGCAAATAATTATCAGTAAATTAAAAAAAAACAACTGTTAAATTTAAATTGTATTGTTTTTTAATTTCTTTGTACAGCGGCAGACTTGTCTTGCCAACTACAATGATAATATCGTTTAAAGACTCTTTCCCGCAAATACGATATCTGAATTTTAACTGCTTGTCAACAAACCCACCTGATTGACAGTACGACCGTAGCACGCTTAATTCTGATGAACTCTCGAAATGTTGGTCACACTGGAAAGATTAAAGTTTTTACGCTAGCGTACTCGTTTGTCGATCTTAATATTAGGCTTTATTACTAAAAAACAATGAAGCTATGTCGCTTTTGCGCTGAATTTTTCCATCGTTTCTATGGCAGCTGCATATATGTACATATGATATTGTTGTCCAATTTTAACAAAACTAAAAACGTAATTCTGATATAGTAAATAATTACTTTATCTTAAAGGAATATTTTGATAAATAAATAAACAGAAAAATAAGAAATTAAAATTTTTTTGTTTAATTTTTAGATTTTTCTATGGGAACTATATGATATTGATATCCGATTTAAATTTAATTAAAACCGTAATTCAATAATATTTAAATAAAACCAAATCCCAAAGAACAAATAATTAATAATTAAAAACAACAAAGTTATAATTTTTTTGAATTTTTTTTCGACTGTTCCTATGTGAGCTAAAAGATATAGTCGCCCGATCCATCTCGTTCCGACTTATGTATATACTACCTGCAATAGAAAGACAACTTTTGGGAAAGTTTCAAGCAGATATGTAGCTTTAAAACTGAGAGACTAGTTTGCGTAGAAACGTACGGACGGACAGACGAAAATGGCTAGATCGACTATTCTGGGGATGCTGATCAAGAATACATACATACAATGTATACTTTATAGAGTCGGAAATGTTTCCTTCACTGCGTTGCAAACTTTTGACTGAAATTATAATACCGTCTGCAAGGGTATAAAAATGCGCTAGTCCCAAAAAATACATTTTATAAGACATAAATACATTATATTTACATTTTAAAATACATACATACATATGTACATACTATAATGTAAGTACATATGTGCAAAGTGTTGAATCTTATCAAAGTAATAAGTAAAGTAAAGTAGTCTAGTGTATCATTATACTAAATTGTATTTTAAAAGAAAATATAGAATAATGTATTGAAATCGTATTTGCGCTTTAACAACGCGCACCTATTCTGCGACCAAGTTCTTTATTATATATATGTATGTATATGTATGAACGCCCTTATAATCTTTATATATATGGACATACATACATATGTACATAAATGTCAATATAAGTACTTACGTTAATTGGTTTATTCACTGACAGAAATGTCATTTAAATGCTATACAAGAACATGGATGCACAATTGAATCAGTGAATTCACTTCCGTGCATTTCATCGACTTGCAATTAGTTTTAACGCAAAAAATAAGCACAATTCATACTTGGCTCAGAAAAATAAATATCACAGATTTACGGCAACGTAAATAATAATTTTTACAATAAAAACAAACAGCATTTGTCGTAGGCATGCATGGCGTGCACTTTGAACAACCAAAAATTGTGACCGAACAACACAAGAGCTTAAAGCTTTGTGTTTACTATGTAAATGTACGTACGGGTACATACATACATACATATGTGGATATGCCAGGCTATGAATTTTGAATCAAGTACATTTTGTAATAAAAAAACTTTGCAAAAAATGCAGAGAAGCATGCATACAAATCTATCTAAAGTCTTGTCAGTAATTAAAAGCAGCTAGCGAACATTGTTGCGGCTAAAATTTAATCGATAAATTTATGAATTACTCCATAATATATGGGTACATTTGCAGCTACATATTTACATATGTATATAAATATATGTACATATATCTTTGGTAGTATTTTGGAATTTATTAAGGCACTCCACTTAATGCGCTAACCCCAAAAAATACTAAAATATAAAAAAATCGTATGTGCAACGAATACTTTTGTGAGCATTTATATTTTTGTCCATATCTTTTTATGGAAAGCGTTTTCTGTTTGGTTTTTTTCGTCATATACTTCACAAAATATTTATCTTTGGAAACATAAACCATTTTTTACCATTTTAAAATGGTTACTTATTTAAAATTGGCATTTTTCAGTTAACCCTCTTTGCAACGAATACTTTTGTGACTCACTGTACGATAATAAAAAAATAAAAATACTGACTTTTTTATGTCACAGCTTATTTCGTGCAAGGAACTTCTTGTTAAATATATTGACTATCAAATAACTTAATACTGTGTGTGGCCTCCCTTTTTGTTTGAGTATTAAGTTATTTAATAGTCAATGTATTTAACATTGAGTTCCTTGCACGAAATAAGCTGTGTCATAAAAGTGTTTTTCTTTTAATGTCAAAATAATAAAGATACTAAAATTCGAGGAAGATTGATATTTGTCCAGTATAGCGGCCAGGTCCCACATCGTGCAAATAAAATATCCTCGATGTGGGCAGTAATTTCTTAGGGATTGAAGTAACCATATAAGTATGTATGTATATGTAAATCTTAAAAAATCGCGGTCCACCGTAGATCATTTAAGCCAATTAAGTTGGTTTAAAATGCAGAAGCGCAATCTTAATTGTTTTCTATTTTTACGACTTGAACCATGGGCACTCACTATTGTGGGCAACTATGACTACTAACAACAACAAGCAAAGAACAGGTAGCAAAAAAAAGCGGGAAGGGTATGCATTTTAAGTTTGCCATTTGATAGCAAGATCTTCTGTTGCATTTCAAGCTTGAATTGGCCGGAAAGAAATAAGAAAGTAGGTGAGGGGTACACATTAGTAGCTTCCGAGTAGAAGACATACAAACTTTTGTCTTATTCCATTGGTCTTAAGGGGGTATATATCTTTTTAATCTTCAAAAAATCGAAAAGTTTTTTATTGCTTTATCTTGAAGAACAACATCTTGAGAACATTTCCCCAAATTTTCATAAAGATTTGAGCGGTAGAAAGAAAGTTGCAGCGCTCCCAGTCGCTCGCCTCGTCCCCGCCCAAACCCCAACTTGAAACTTTAAGCCCGAATATCTCGAAATGGTGTTTTTTGAAAAATGACTTTGCGGTGATATGGATTGGCGAAAAACTACTGATCCGATTTTCTTTAAATTGTAATTTTGGTCAAAAGTGTGCAACGCAGTGAAGGAGACATCTCCTACCCTATAAAGTATATGTATATATTCTTGATTAGGGTCGCGCCCTGAGTTGATATAAGCATGTCCGTCTGTCTGTTCGTCTGCCTGTTCGTCTGTCTGTCCGTCTGTCTGTTTCTACGCGAACTAGTCTCTCAGTTTTAAAGATATCGAATTGAAAGTTTGCACACACCCTTCTTTCCGCTGCACGCAGTATATAAGTCGGAACGGCCGGGATCGGCCGACTATATCCTATAGCTGCCATATAACTGACTGGTCGGAAATGCCATAACTTTGGTGTTCGTAAAGTTAGGAAGTTCGGATTTTCTATGAGTTTTATTTTTGGCCAATTAATTAGACCTATCAAATTTCACGACTATATCATATAGCCGACATATAACTGAACGATCGGAAATGCCATAACTTTGATGCTTGTTAAGTTAGGAAGTTGGGATATTCTATGGTTTTTATTTTTGGCCAATCAATTCGACCTACAATTTCATAAGGATCGGCTGACCGCGCCGGACCAAAAGAGAAATACCAATTTGGTCTCAAAAATATACTACAAAATACTATTTCATATTTTACAAAATACCACTATAATACCATAACAAATAATTCGCCTGGAAATTCAAATTATAATATGTAATATGTAAAAATAATAATTGACTTATTATATATAGAAACAAGAGAGAACGCTATAGTCGGGTGCCCCGACTATCAGATACCCGTTACTCAGGTAAAGGGAGTGCGAGGGAGATGGAGATAGAAACTTTGATCACGCATAACTTTTTAACGAATGGTCCGATTTGAAAAATTTCTTCTACATTTCGATAGGTATTGATAAACACAATAAAACTGCATTTTTACTTTTTCGAAATATTTAAATTTTTAAAATCGTATATAAGCGATTGTGGGCGTTAAAGGGGGCGTGGCACCATTTTGAAACAAACTTGCGCTGCGTAGGAACTCCTAGAATCTGCATGCAAAATGCCAATCTTCTAGCTTTTATAGTTTCCGAGATCTCAGCGTTCATACGGACAGACAGACAGACAGACAGACAGACGGACAGACAGACGGACAGACGGACAGACGGACATGGCTATATCGACTCGGCTAGTGACCCTGATCAAGAATATATATACTTTATAGGGTCGGAAACGCTTCCTTCTAGCTGTTACATACTTTTGCACGAATACAATATACCCTTTTACTCTACGAGTAACGGGTATAAAAATAAGGTTTTCCCCATTGCAAAAAATGTTTGTTTTTTATTTAATTTTACAAGATTAATAATATTTCAGTCCAACATTAAACTAAAACAATATGCATTCGTATTCAATTCCATATTCCAACATATATTTAAAGTCTTAAAATTAATTAAATGCTTAAAATTCATTTTGTAACATTTTCTTTAAATAAAATAATAGAGGAACTTCTTTTTCCAGTCATCGAGTAACACGTTCTTAAAATAAAATAATAAAGGAACCTGTTTGTCCAGTCTTGTAAATTTCTTTTAAGATCAGAATAGATCAATTTTGATTGAAAATACCATATAATACAATAAAATCTATGAAAAATGCTACTAAATACCTATATACCATTAAAATACTTTTGAGCAAAATCAGAGCTGATAAAATACCAAAACAAATTATTTCATCTTGGTTTACAAATTCACATCAGTGGTAGCAGAAGAATGTCTTGCATATATGTATGTATTCCAAATAATATAAATCAATTTAATGAGATAGGAACAGGGCACATCGCAGTCGGTGTCTGCGCTTAGTGGTTCAGAAATCTTCAAACCAAATCAGCTTTGGTTGTTGTTCTGCGAGCGGATGGTGCCTGCATACCCTACCGACGATCAAATTTTAGGGGTGGGGACAGAAACAAGAACGGCTGTTTGGATTTTGTTTTGTTTACATTTTTTAGGACACTTGTTATACCCGTTACTCGTAGAGTAAAAGGGTATATTGTATTCGTGCAAAAGTATGTAACAGCTAGAAGGAAGCGTTTCCGACCCTATAAAGTATATATATTCTTGATCAGGGTCACTAGCCGAGTCGATATAGCCATGTCCGTCTGTCCGTCTGTCTGTCCGTCTGTCCGTCTGTCTGTCCGTATGAACGCTGAGATCTCGGAAACTATAAAAGCTAAAAGATTGGCATTTTGCAAGCAGATTCTAGGAGTTCCTACGCAGCGCAAGTTTGTTTCAAAATGGTGCCACGCCCCCTTTAACGCCCACAATCGCTTATATACGATTTTAAAAATTTAAATATTTCGGAAAAGTAAAAATACAGTTTTATTGTGTTTATCAATACCTATCGAAATGTAGAAGAAATTTTTCAAATCGGACCATTCGTTAAAAAGTTATGCGTGATCAAAATTTCTATCTCCATCTCCCTCGCACTCCCTTTACCTGAGTAACGGGTATCTGATAGTCGGGGCACCCGACTATAGCGTTCTCTCTTGTTTTGAATGATATGTTTAATGAGTTTTGGTTGATTTTTTTTTTTTGATTCGCAGTGTAATTTTGTTTAATGTTGTTATTTAATGATCTAGTTGTATATATTTTTATAAATATATATATATTTTTTTTAAATATACATATGTACATATAATAATTTTATAATTTTAATCTTGGAATATTACAAATTGTTTAACCACTATAAAGTACAGACAAAAAATATTCGAAGTGGTTTTCTTAAATGTATATTACTATTTTAAATCAAGAATTAAACTTTTAATGATTTTTAATATAAAAAAAAATTATAAAATTATTTATCATTAAACATAACATTCAAAACAAGTGTCCTAAAAAACGTTCTGGTTTCTGTCCCCACCCCTAAAATTTAATCGTCGGTAGGGTATGCAGGCACCATCCGCTCGCAGAACAACAACCAAAGCTGATTTGGTTTGAAGATTTCTGAACCACTAAGCGCAGACACCGACTGCGATGTGCCCTGTTCCTATCTCATTAAATTGATTTATATTATTTGGAATACATACATATATGCAAAACATTCTTCTGCTACCACTGATATGAATTTGTAAACCAAGATGAAATATATGCTTAAATATTAAAAAATATACTGTAACATATAATATTCTTATTTTTATCATTAACCCAATAGTGAATACGTCCATATTGTTAGGGTACCAAGTCTGAAAAGTAGCAAAAGACAAAATATTCTTGCTGCATCGAAATGAAATGATCGCACACATGCACCCCTGTATGAGAATGCATGAACACGCATACATACAAAGCCCAATTCAAGCGCAGGCCATCCTTCTTCAAAATGCGCGTCTCTGCGACTGAACGACCGAACTCGAGCGCGAGCGTCAAAATAAGAATTAGAACGAGAGCGAAAAAAACCCGAAGGCACACGAAGTGTCCGGGGCCTGCTGATTCCAGCACTGGGGCCTCCCGATTGAAA